TGGACTGTGACCATGTTTCATGTTACACCCTAAATACTGTATGAGTGTAACATTAGACAAGGTCTGAAAAGTGGAATGAGCCTTTAAGAGTATCTTGGCACTGTTTGTACTTCATATAATGTCACACTGCTGCACATCTATAAATTGTTCATACTGCATGACATTCTTATATTAATGTTTGCATTAGACACGTTTTGGTGGCCTGCTGACGTCCAGCTGTGATAAGAGACCCCCATGCTGTATGGACCATGTTTAGTGTCATAAACAGTCTGTTTGTACACGTGATGTTATTTACAGAGAATATTCAGTCACCTTTATTCCAAGCTCGGTCCTCTGTATTGCTGTCTCCAGGGCTTGGATATCCACCATGGCCCCATTCTGCTGTTTGGAGTTCCCTAGTTTCTTCTTTAAATGTTCAAGGTCATTCTGTACCTGTAGAGGAATGCATCTTTAAAAATAAATACTATGAACTTGTACGTCATATAAAACACAACAATAACTAACATTATAAATGTTATGTGCAATGTTTCATACTCAGAATCAGTCAGTTGATTTACTAAAGGTAAATAGACTGTTCACCTTGAAATAAAAATTTCCCTTAGCTCAGTAAAAGGGGTAAAGGTCTGCTGACTTCTATCATCCAATCATGTGCAAGCAAAAATACTGTTATTTTTAGTTTAATTGCACATGATTGGGTATTCTGAGGAAGGGGGTGTGGCCCCAGAAATGCATTAACCCAGGCATATTGTGCTGTTACACAGGAACTGTCATCTGTGCAGCTCTCACATGCTGCGTTTTGCTTTAGTTAAGACTGATGATCAACTTCTGACTTTGAATACTTATTGTCATCAACTCTTTTGTGACTATTATTCTATTGTTGCTGTTTGTTCAATAAAAATGTATCTACAGATATCACAGTCTCCCTGACTGATGTGGGGCAGCGACCTGTAGAACTTCTGCGTGCATATTTCTTCAGGTGGAGTGGTTGACTCTTGCGCTACTGGCTTTCATTTTCTTGGGTGTTCTATGCACAGTGAATTTTCGCCACATTCACTAAGCTAAGGGAAATTCCATTGCAAATTGAACAGTCTATTTGCCTCTTGACTCTTATATTCTTTTCCCTACAACTCAGAAGGGGGGCCAATGATGATTAGATTTGTATCCCAATTTGCACCCATTTATAGTGCAACTGAAGCCAAAACTTTTTTTTTTTACTTTGATGAGTGGAGAGGGATTAGAACAAATGTCAGATTATTATTGCTATCACCCGCTCTATTTGTCCTGGTGACCATTATCACTAAAAATTAAAGAAAATCGCAAACATTAGGGTTGTCACCTGAACAGGAATATATGGGAAATCTTCCAATGGGGACAGGCGACCCTCCTGACCACCAGGGATATCGCCTCACTTCCTATTGATTCATATCCCGGTCAGGACACTACTTGCAAGGAGTTTACATGTTCTCCCTGTGCTTGTGTGGGTTTACTCCGGGTACTCCGGTTTCCTCCCAAACTCTAAAGACATGCTGGTAGTTTAATTGGCTCCTGCCGCCACTGTATGTGTGTATGTGAGACAGGGAAATCTCCCCAATGGGACACAGAAGGCCAAAGTCAACATCACCACATTCTCATGGTTAATAGTACAACTCCTAGTAATGCTTAAAGCAGAACTAAATCCAACAATTATTTTTAGTTTTGGATAGCGTAAGGGAGGGAAATAGCCCGTCAGATTTTTTTGCTATCTGCTTCACATTGGGGAGATGTCACTTACCAGCAAGAAATGAGAAGCAATACATCCAAAATGAGTGAAAACCCTGGTGGTCAGCAGGGTCACCAGAATTAGTGTGCCCATTGGAAGATTTATCAACAATCCCTGTTCTGATGACAGGGATACCAGTTACAAGCACAAACAGAAAGGGGGCATAGACAGAAATAAAGACCTGACAAGTGTCCTAATCCCTCTCCATTCTATCCAAAACTAAAAACAAAGTTTTGATTTCAGTTGCACTTAAATAAATGTTCTCCTGGCTGACCTACTATTATCTACATCAAAACAGAAATAGAATAATGCTATCTATATCTCCTTATCCATAATTCCTGTGTCTGTGCAGTCTATACCTGTTTGCAATTTTGTAAATCTTATTAAACTCAGATCAAACAAAAAAATAACAGGAGTCTGACAGTTCTATCTGGATATTCGGAGCTCATTTTGTGGTTACTTGTTATAAAGTTTATTAAAAAGTTGATAGAAGCATTCCTTTATTTAGACACACAAATACGTATTTATACTGATGACTGTGCACTGACAACATTACAAACCACCCTCCAGAGGTGCATTGTACACTGCAACACTGTATAATCCTGTCTTAAGTATCTCCTATTAATCATTACCAAGATTGTATTTATTTCCAGGAACATTTACTTGCTCAGCAAAGGATGGATTTGCGTGATAGAGTCACAAAGGACTGCTGACCACATCATTGGCCCTTATCGCGTTACAAAATACCTTTGTGCATTTAAATTACTAATCTACAATAAACAGTAACTCAACTGATCCTTAGAAGAATGAACACGGCAGAAACTGAATATCACATTTAGAAAAAAGGTTTTTCTAAAAATTGCCATTTAAAGCTGAGCTCTGGGCACCAACAGTTTCATTTAAATCTATTCCTCTGAAGAAGTTCAGTGTTTTGGAAGAAACATGTTAGGGAGACAAGTGGAGGGTGTTTTCATGCCAATGTTCTACAGCAGACTGGCTAGATATATATTAATGACTGGATCAATCAAGAGACTGGTATAGTACTGCTACATACGTATATACAAGTCAAATTCTATCTGCTCTACTGCTGCAAGGAAGAATAGGTGGTTGATTCTCATGATACATTTAGATTGTCATGTCTAAATCCTGGCACCTAGCTGAGGATGGACTTTTTATTCACAGAAGCAGATTAAGATGAATCGTTATTGATTGGGCAATGTGGAGGCTAGTATAGCTCCGAACCCATGTGTATATACACTGCCAACCCCCCCAAAAAAAGTCACCACCTGGATTTTGGGCCTTTTTATGATCTGAGGTTGCTTCAGTTAGTTACGTCGCCGTTTAGCAATGTTATGTCCCTAAAAAATATGAGGTCAGCTGCATATACTGAATGACCAGGTTTTTTTCTTCCCAGATGGCATATTGGGCATATTCCAAGATGGCAATGCCAGGATTCATCGGGCTCAAATTGTGAAAGAGTGGTTCAGGGAGCATGACACACCATTTTCACACATGGATTGGCCACCACCAAGTCCAGACCTTAACCCCATTGAGAATCTTTGGGATGTCCTGGAGAAGACTTTACACAGTGGTCTGACTCTCCCATTATCACTACAATGTCTTGGTGAAAAGCGAATGCAACTCTGGATGGAAATAAATGTTGTGACATTGCATAAGCTTATTGAAACGATGCCATGGCGAGTATGACCAATAATCAAAGCTAAAATGGTCTAACGAAATATTAGAGTGTGACTTTTTTGGACTGGGCAGTGTACAAGAATCTGCTAGTCTTCCTACTTGGGGGTTTGAGGCATGATGTTACTGACTTGTTGGAAAATACATGTGCAGTTGATCCAGATAACAGGTCATTAATAATATGTATGAAATACAAATGATTTAGCAAATCTGTCCGCGGACATCCACTAGAAATGTGAAATGGATGCAGCTAAATGAATGAAATATAATACGCACCTGTACGACAGAAAACTTTGAGTGTAACAAACAGGCGACTTTGGGAGTAAAGGACAACTCCAAGAGTAAGAGACGACTTTTGGAGTAACAGACAACTATGATAGTAACAAACAACTTTGGGAGTAACGGACATCTTTGGGAGTAACGGAGGTCTTTGGGAGTAGCAGACGTCTTTGGCAATAACGGACATATTTTGGAGTAACAAAAAATGTTAAGAGTAAAGAACATTGTTGCGAGTAAAGGACATCTTTAGGAGTAATGGACAACTTTGAGAGAAACAGACAACTTTGGGAATAACGGAAATCTTTGGGAGTAACGGACATCATTGAAAGTAAAGGACATCTTTGGGAGTACAGACAACTTTGGGAGTAACAGACAACTTTGGGAGTAACAGATAACTTTGGGAGTAACGGAAATCTTTGGGAGTAACGGAAATCTTTGGGAGTAACGGACATCTTTGAGAGTAACGGACATCTTTGTGAGTAACGGACATCTTTGTGAGTAACGGACATCTTTGTGAGTAACGGACATCTTTGTGAGTAACGGAAATCTTTGTGAGTAACGGAAATCTTCGTGAGTAACGGACATCATTGAAAGTAAAGGACATCATTGAGAGTAACAGACAACTTTGGGAGTAACAGACAACTTTGGGAGTAACAGACAACTTTGGGAGTAACAGACAACTTCGGGAGTAACAGACAACTTCGGGAGTAACAGTAGCAGACATCTTTGGGAGTAGCAGACGTCTTTGGCAATAATGGACATATTTTGGAGTAACAGAAAATGTTAAGAGTAAAAGGACATCGTTGAGAGTAAAGGACATCTTCAGGAGTAATGGACAACTTTGGGAGAAACAGACAACTTTGGGAGTAACAGACAACTTTGGGAGTAACGGAAATCTTTGGGAGTAATGGAAATCTTTGTGAGTAACGGAAATCTTTGGGAGTAACGGACATCATTGAAAGTAAAGGACATCTTTGGGAGTAACAGACAACCTTGGGAGAAACAGACAACTTTGGGAGTAACAGACAACTTTGGGAGTAACAGACAACTTTGGGAGTAACGAAAATCTTTGTGAGTAACGGACATCATTGAAAGTAAAGGACATCTTTGGGAGAAACAGACAACCTTGGGAGAAACAGACAACCTTGGGAGAAACTAACAACTTTGGGAGTAACAGACAACTTTGGGAGTAACAGACAACTTTGGGAGTAACGGACATCATTGAAAGTAACAGACAACTTTGGGAGTAACAGACAACTTCGGGAGTAACAGTAGCAGACGTCTTTGGGAGTAGCAGACGTCTTTGGCAATAACAGACATATTTTGGAGTAACAGAAAATGTTAAGAGTAAAGGACATCTTTAGGAGTAACAGACAACCTTGGGAGAAACTGACAACTTTGGGAGTAACAGACAACTTTGGGAGTAACGGAAATCTTTGTGAGCAACGGACATCATTGAAAGTAACAGACAACTTTGGGAGAAACAGACAACTTTGGGAGTAACAGACAACTTTGGGAGTAACAGACAACTTTGGGAGTAATGGAAATCTTTTGGAGTAACGGACATCATTGAAAGTAAAGGACATCTTTGGGAGTAACAGACAACTTTGGGAGTAACAGACAACTTTGGGAGTAGCAGACGTATTTGGCAATAATGGACATATTTTGGAGTAACAGAAAATGTTAAGAGTAAAGGACA